AGCCTATTTTTCTGTTTTGTTACTCTCTCCAAACTCAAGTTGGCTAGTACCTATCCTCCTAGTGTTAATAAACTCGTTCTAATGTAAAATGTAAACTACCACCCCCCTACCACCTCCACTCCCACCCACTCCACCTACCACCTCCACTACCACCTACACCTACCACTACCACCTACCACCTTCTCTTCTATATATACAGTTGTAATATACACTACATACATCAATCAACACACATCAATCATAATACATGCAATTTATTCTCTTTCTATCAAATTATCTTACATGGTATCAGAGCTAGGTTAAGAACCTAGTATTTTCGTTCCACCGGCGGGCGGCAATCTCGCCTTAGCCGCCCGCCGGACAAACCCAAATTTCCTTAATTTTCTTCAGTAGCATTGACATCTTCTCCATGCCCTCCCCTGGATCTCCACCACTGGCAGAAACCATCTCATGCAGGGCTATTGATTCTTGGGTGAGATCAGATATTTCCATCAGTTGTAATTTTTCAGCCACTCTCCTTATGACAGCTGGACCTTCAGACGCATCATTGTTGTAAAGGGACAAGAGATTCTCATGCAGCTCAACATCGGGTGAATCAACCCTTGAAATCAACAAAAAATTAAAAGCATAAATAGCATAAATTCTTGAAATCAACACAGGAGGTGTGTATGTAGTTTTGGTCAGGGTTTTGGTTAGATCATCGAGTAATACCCCTTCCTTTTGGGATCCTGCTGTGACTACAGCAGCGATATGTGGGTGGGGCCTTTTTTAAAAAAATTTAAGAATTTAAATTGTTCATATTTTAAAATTTGTCGAGTATAGTATTCATATAAAAATTAAATTAATTGAAAATCAAAAACTCCATGATCATATTCAAACTATTTTAAAAAAATTATCAAGATAATGTTAGTCGTTTATTTTTTAAAAAACAAATATACTCTTGTTATAGAGATACAGATTTCCAATCAATTTAATTTTTTATATGAATGATTCATTCAATGAATTCTATAATAGAAACTGTACCACAGATCACTGTAGCATCCCTGGTCCCTTCCTCGGTGCATGTTAAGAAGTTTATTGATAAAGTTATTTTAAAAATTATAAAAAAAAATTGTGTGAGTTATATGTAACTTTTACTTATAATTTATTAAGTAAAAATAATTTAAATAAATACAAAAATGTAATTATCTAAAAATTGGATAAATCATGCTTAAATTTCTTTTCTATTTTTTAATGATCAGCGTTTCAAATTGATACCAAATACACCTAGTGAAGTGGATGGAGTTTGATTACAAATATGACTTAATTCACCCAAAAGAAAGAAAGGAGTTTGACATTGTCTTTTTAAAATTCTTAAAAAACTAATGTGCTTGAGAAATATATATATTTTTTGTTTGGTGCAAAAATTGACCTTTTTTAGTTTTATTTTTATTTTTTTAAACTCGATTGGGATTGTTATATTCTGCTTAAAATTGATACATAATCACAAATCAACATCTAGGGGATTTCTAGATTTTTCATATATATTGACTTGTTTTAGTCAAAAAAACAAACTAGCTAATCCCAAACAGGGCCTTAGTTAAGTGGATTTCAAAACATATTTTTTTGCGATTGGGTTCTTTCAGCAAGCTTCTGTTTGATTGGCTTTAATTTTGCTTGTGTGATTAATGTTTACCCCATAGTAAAGGTAATACATAGGTAATTTAATTTCCCTTGACAAATCCAAGATCCAAATATAGCCTAAATCACCCAATTTTCAACATAATTGAAGATCCCATTTTTACCAAAACTCATGCCCCCTTGAACAAACCTCACCATAGTCATCATTTTTTTTCTTCTTTTCTCCTCTTTTCAACCTTACAACTTTCAGCCAAAATATACCCATTCTTATCAAAATCTTACATTTGCTACAATGGCATAATTTTTACTAGAGTAGTCAAATTTTAGCCTCTGTAACTTTCTAACAATGAAAATTAAAATTTCTACTGTTATATAGATTGTTTGAAAGGCATGACTAGAATCTAAAACAATCTTCATTCTGCTGCAAAAGTTGTTGCAGTGTCCTAGGGTTGGCATGACATGAATTAATGTTGTAATTGAACCTGTGATAACATGATCATCGGTAGAGTTCAAACAAGTTGCATTGTTTACATCCTTGAGGGATCACGATGATGGCTGCAAAGTTGGGATTTGGCTAGTTCTAGGATTCTATAAGAGAAGTGATCATATGTGCTAATCTAAAACAAGTAAATCACTGTACTAAAGTTAGGGCATAAAAACAATCATGTGTCAGTATGGTACCCCACATGGACCTAAAAGCACCAGTAGGGAAACTAGGACTTCCTTGATCATAAAGGACTCACACATGGAGATATGTTAAATCACAATTTCCCTATAAAAACCAAAATGGAGATTTCAGAAGCAAAACATGACTTATTATTTTGGATGCCTTCAAATATACTGCCTCTATCCTAGATAGAAGACTAAAAGCAGGCATATGTTTTGAACACAAACAGTTCCAGCAAATATTACAGACCAACCACCGTAACTATGCTAGTCAACCCAAAGTTTAACACAAAGGATATGTAAGTTCCGAAAGAAGGCAGCAAAGTACCTTCTCGAAAGTACACAAGTAAATTCATAAGACATCCCACATCCCAGAGGGATTACTGTTGTCAGCTTCTTTAAGCATCTGCACCCAACATACAAAAAGAGAGTGATTTAGAAATTCATTCTATTTTTTGATTTTTTTTCCCCGACTAAAAGGGGGTTGGCAAAAGCAATATGGTTGAGAGTTGACTCACCATTTGGGGAATGAGGACTCCTGTCAGAGATTTCAGACAGAGGTATTGGAACAGAGATTGATAGCTGAGTGGTGGAGAATGTACTCTTGTCATATCTCTGATCATCAGGATCGGTCCATGAATCTCTTGCTTTAGGCCAATCATCCAAGAAAGGTCTTACAGCATGGCTCTCCTGTTTCACGGGACCGGGTGAACCAAACTCGCTGCCAAAGAAGCAATATTGTTGCCGCTGTCTTGACATTGCAGCATTGCTCATCGATTCAAAATCCTGTAGCATGTGTGGTTGACAGGAGTTGCTTTGCAAATAAGCACCATAACTTGGATTTGGAGAGGGGTCTACCTGAACACATGATGGCATGGGATGCCATGTGTTGTCTACATTACGGTCTATGCCAAGGACCTGGACACTTCGTGAACCTTCTGGATGAAAATTTAGTTGATCTACTTCAGGATTCACTTCGTGGGTATACCTGCATTTTTTGAGTTTGCAGAGGGAACCCAAGTTTTAATTTCAATTTCAATTTCCATCAGCTAGGCGATATGATCAGATTGTATGTCAATTCCGCTATATACACCGATGGAACATAAGCAAGAATGCTAGCCAGAAGAGATATATCTACCAAATTATGAATTTCATCCACTCCCAACACCAACCCGAGTTCCAACAATTCATGGATGGGGCAATAGAACAATTTAACTGCTTTGAGCTGAAACGAGTCCTTTAATTCTTATTTTGTACTCGAAACAAAACTAAAAAGTGACAACCAGAGAGGAAGAAAGGTGGAATCACATCATTGAATTTAAAATCTTCAAAGCTTCACGCCAAGTAGGATTGTTTCAAGGGATGTGACGTAGACCAAGTGCCCAGAACACTCACCTACTAGTATTGAGCCCAACTTGGATGTATGCCATCAGAAAGGAGCCTTTTGTTGCTGAGTAGGATTATCTAGGTTAGATATTAATCTTAGGGCCTATTTGAGGCTGTTTTGAGTGTTGTGAACAGTAACTACATACAAAGTGCTTAAGGAAGGTATGGGAAACAAAGCAGATTAATATCTAACCTAAATAACCATAATACATGATTACACATTATTCCAATTGGTCCCAAAAGGATTCAACTTGAAACCACACAATTTCTAATTTTGTTTTTACTATTTCCTAATCTCCTTATGGACTGCAGCAGGGTATTATTTAAAATGTCATATGCAATTTCCTCCAAAACCGACCGAAACGGCATAAACTATGGAGAATTAGGGCTTGGCGTGTATCAACCATAATTTTGTTTCTATAATCAAAATTTCATCGAAGTGAAGATATTTTATGGGGACAATTTATGGAAAGTGATGCAATTCACCATTCTGATTAAAAGGGGTTTCTCAAAACTAAGATGGTTCTTAGGGTAAGCCATGGCCTCTATCTCTTGTTCATTTTGCCAGTCTGGTTTATTATGCTGAATCTCCCAACTAACAAAGGATTGAACTCCCCACCTAGATTTGTAGTACCACAATCCTTTCAGATTTCTTCTTATCAACCCCTCCACTAGTGGGGTCCTGTTTATAAGGGGTCAGGCCAACACTTCGCACCTGTGCTCTACAAGGATTACACACACTAACTCATACTTGAAACCCTACATAAGCTGGCATCTTTATCTTAAGAATTTGAATTGATCTATAGCATCAAATAGTTAGTAACAGACAACCTCACCATCTTTATCAAGAGAAAATAATCTATTCTTTTTTCCCTTAGTCAAGACTTAATTCATACTCTCGAAGCTACCTATATCACCACCTCTCATGCCTTTCACAGCCACATTATTATCTTCCAATTGTTTTCTAGAACATTCATTTGACCAGATGATTGATGGTCTAAATATCTTAGTAGTGTTAGGAGGAAAAGCAACCAACTCAATATATCCTCATTCTTGTTTAGTACATGATCCTCATTCAGTTTACAACAAAGATCTTTCCCAGCCGGTCCAGTTTTGGTACTTGGAAGTGTTTACGGCCATGATTTTAGCAAAATGCAGCCCTTGCAATATTGACCATACTGATTTTTGGCTACATTTACTTTGTCCCTTTCTATGAAAAATTATACTATATGTTCCAAGGACAAGCTATTAAGTCAAGACAGTGCTTAACCATCTTTGAATCAGTAAAACTTTTAATAAGCAATTCATCCTTGTTTTTTCTATCAACTAGAGTACATACATGATTCTAATTTATTCATATTGAAAAACAATCCAGCATATTAGTCACAGATTGAGATATAAACCACAAAACAGAGTACAATAGAGAACTCAATTCAGTGGCCTTCTGAAGTTGTCTAGTCAAATAATGAGGTAAGGAAGCAGGAGTACAATTGGGAAGCAACTAGTAGTAGGCCCAGAGATTTAAAAAAATAAGCAATGAATTCATAAAAGACTTTGGAGCATGAAGCTCAATGTACAATGGGGTTCAGGAGAAGTATGCATTATTCAACATGGCATGACATAGAAGGAGCAAGAATTGTAGTGCAATGCTTTGCGACGGTAACCAAGGATGGATTCTTTGTAGCGCTGTTGTTCAGGTGAACTAAAAAAACTAGGGTAGATTTAAACTGTTAGTATCATATTAAATATATATATAGAATAATCATTATTGTTTTTATTTTTTTACTTTTCGATATTTTTATATCATTTTGATGTAGTTTCAGTCTTGATATGGGATCACCATATCCACTTAAGTTATCACATGCTAGACACTTGACAGCCTAAGTGATGAAAGTAACTTTAGGCCCTTAGATTACATGAAATGATGAGCATAAACTCAAAAGGAACGACAGCAATCGGCTTAAGATCTTTAAAGATTTTTTCTTCATGCACTTTGTCTTGCCTTTTTTAATTTTGTTCATTCAAATCAAAGAAACCCTATGATTGATGCCCATCTTGTCTTCTGTTTTCCCTTTGTTGTGGTTGTTTGAACACTACGAAGTATTCTTCAAACAATTTGCTTTCCCTTGGCTAACTAAATTCCGCACTGCAACAAAGGTGAAACATATTGATTATATTTATCTATCTCACGAGCTCTCTGTCTTCAAATTATTGCCTAACATTCTTCCTTGTTCAAAACTTTGGTTTCCTTATGCTTAGGGCATTTGTCCTTATTTTGTTTGCAATAAAGGTGAAATATACTGATATTTATCTATATCATAAGTTCTCCCTCTTCAAATCATTTACTAGCATTCTTTCTCAATCAAGTCTTTGGTTTCCTTCTGCTTAGAGTGTTTGTCCTTATTTTGTTTACGCACATATATCATTTATCACATACTAAGAATGAATGACTAACTAGGCCCAAAAGGGAAGCAAATCTGAGGATGCCCATTTAACATAATCTCACAAGGGAAGAGCAGTGGTACCTGTACTCTTTGTCATTGATCCCATACGAGACAGGCTCCCTCTGCAACGTTGATGTATTGCTTGCAAGCAACGAGCTCTCATTATTAACAATGGAGTGCAAAGGCAGGTTTTGGAAGCTACCACACCCACTACTACTCCCAGTAGCACTGTGTGATACCACAGTTGACAATGACTGAGAGGTAGATTGAGATTCCACAGGCTTTCTTGAACGGTTGCGGCCTCGGTTCATGTGCCGCTCACAGTATTTGGAGTCCACATATGCATCTTTAGAGCACCTCCACTTCTTTCCATCCGTCCTCCGGCACCTACCTGGCTCCGGGTCTATTTTCTTCCCATAATAGGAACAATAGCCTACTGCAAATGAAGAGCGAAGTTTAGCCCCCAGAGTTAAGCCACAACATAGAATGAATCAATCCATCAAAGAGATTCACCACTAAAATAAAATTAAAAATGAAGTAGTTGATCAGTTCCAATAATGAAACTACATTTTTAATAATAAAAGACCCTTTACATATTAAACATACAAAATAAAGGGTTCATCATGCCATTGCTAAACAGAAGGCAAAAATTGTTATTCATAATAGATGCAAGCAACAGATTACCCACCTAATGGAAAAGTAAAATTCTTGAATATTTTCATGTTCAGATTACAAAATTGATTATGTCATGGAAATGAAATCAGCATTGAACAGTCACGCATGTCAAATACCACAAATGCTGTTCAGAATTCTAAAAGATAAAGCAAGCATACCAAGAAACTTAATTTAAGAGAGAGAGAGAGAGTCAAAGCAAAAAAGCACAACCTAAAACCAAAATAAAGAGAGAATTAAAGAAGAGCACTGAGTTGTCATCTAATGAGATAACAACAAAGTAACCAAACTCACCACGATCAATGAGAATGCACATCAATTCTAAACTATGATAAATAAATATAATAGAGCGAGAAAAAGAGAGGTGTTTTGATTTCTTACAGCTGGAGTGGTGAAGGAACCTAGCAGAAATAGATTCGAGGCTACGACGAATGGGGATGAGGAGGTCTGGAGGAACAGGTAGTCCGGCGAGTAGGTATTTGTAAATCAGAGCTTGATGCTCCAGCTCCTGCCACTGCGCCGCCGTGAACGGAGGCCGTATCCCCACCCCTGCCGCCGCCGCCACGGACGATGACGCACCACTCATTTCACAGCACTCACTCAATCTTCCTCTTCTTCTCCCAACTAAAGCCTCTAAAAAGGTTGATTCACTTCCAGTAAAAAGCTGCAATAAAGACTACAACATGAGCTCTCCCACAGACACAGACACAGACACAGACACAATACAATCCAATATGTTCAAGAGAGAGAGAGAGAGAGGTTACCTTGGGGAGGACAGGTGTAGGGTTTGGCCATGGTTGTGTGCGCAGAGCAGAAGCTGGGAAAAAGTGGAAGTACAGTGGAACTGAGAGGGTTTCTGTAATCTTTAGTTATAGCATTTTGCTTATTATGTGTTTAACATTAAAGAGAAATGGTTTTTTATTTTTTTTTGAACTAGTAGAAATGGTTTGATCTGATGCCTTTGTTTTGATTACGACTTTCAAAACAGTTCTATTGGCAGAGTCGTTTCCACTTTTTCCACGAAATTGCGCTCTCTTTTCCACTCAAAATTTATATATATGTATTTTTAAAAAGTTGATAAAAAATTAATTTTTTTAGTTTATTTTATCTTTTTATAAGTAAAAATTATGAGAAGTGATATGACTCAAAATGAATAAAAAGTTAAAAGCTGAACTCTTCAAAAGATCCTATAATTCTCTTTGTTAAGATTAAAAATACTAAATTTTCTATTAAATAAATAATTAAATATCTCATATGACACTTTTGAGAGCCCAACATGATTTGTCTAAAATCTTTAATCTTAAGATTATTGTTATTATTATTTTCCAACTATAATCCAAATGCCAACGTCTATTACAATTTAGGAACAATTTTGGTATTGTAAAAAAAAGTATTCTCATTTTACCATGAGTAGTTATATGCCTCCAATTTATTCTTTGGATTTTGATACACGAAAAATTTCTTATCTCCCTTTCTTCTTTATATCAATTACTAGTGGTAATTCGTGCGTAGTTAAATTAATAATGTATTTTTATATTAATAAAAAAATTAATAATATATTTTTATACAATATAATATAAATAGTTAAATTTTTGTATGTTTCCACTTTTTCCACGAAATTGCGCTCTCTTTTCCACTCAAAATTTGTGGGCTTGTTTGGTTTGTGTTTGTAGAGTAATTTTTGAGATAAAAAGTACGAAAATTTGTTTGATTTTTCTTTTTTCAGAAATAGTTTCGAAAAATTATTTTGGAGAGAGAGTTTTAAAAAAAGTAATGGATTTGATGTGTATGAGAGAGAGAGAGAGTGATTTTGGAAAGAAACAAACCAAACAAAATTTTGAAATTTTTTTTGAAAAAATTTGTTTGGTTTGATTACTCTTGAAAATTTATTTGTAGAGAATTTTTCTCAAAATTTTTTCCCAAAAACAAACCAAACAATCTGTGTTTTGAGGAGTGGATAAAAAATTATTTTTTTTAGTTTATTTTATTTTTTTATGAGTAAAAAATATGAAAGATGATATGACTCAAAATGAATAAAAAGTTAAAAGCTGAACTCTTCAAAAGACCCCATAATTCTCTTTGTTAAGATTAAAAATACTAAATTTTCTATTAAATAAATAATTAAATATCTCATATGACACTTTTGAGAGCCCAACATGATTTGTCTAAAATCTTTAATCTTAAGATTATTGTTATTGTTATTTTCAAACTATAATCCAAATGCCAACGTCTATTACAATTTAGGAACAATTTTGGTATTGTTAAAAAAAGTACTCTCATTTTACCATGAGTAGTTATATGCCTCCAATTTATTCTTTTGATTTTGATACACGAAAAATTTCTTATCTCCCTTTCTTCTTTATATCAATTACTAGTGGTAATTCGTGCGTAGTTAAATTAATAATGTATTTTTATATTAATAAAAAAATTAATAATATATTTTTATACAATATAATATAAATAGTTAAATTTTTGTATGCAAATTATGAAATCAAAAAAGATTTAAATTTACAATTTAAATCCCATAATTTTATCACAATTTATTTATTATTTTTAATTTGTCACAAATTTAATCATGTAACCTTTAGCCTCCGTTTGGAAAGTGGGTTGACTTTTTGACTTTTTTGCTTTTTTGACTATATGAGCCTGGGCTCAAAAACTTGGTTTGGGAAGGGCTTTTGGCTTTTTGGCTTTTTGGCTTTTTTTATTTTTTTGTGAGAGAAGAGTGTAATGATTATGGGGTTGGATTGGATGTTTTGTCTGTTGTGGCTCATGAGCCTATTATGTCTTTTATGACTCATTGAGCCAAAAAAGCCCAATGAGCCCTTGCCAAACCAACCCTTAGTCTCCCTTGCTAGAATTACAAACTTAGGTAAGCTCAACCCAAACAAGTTGAGTCGAGCTTAAAATTTTTAAAAAATTGAACAATATAGTTTTTAATTGAGGGCCTATGCAGAAATTCAAAAATTCAAATTAAATTTGAGTGGACTTGAGAAGAAACACCAAATAACTTGAGTAACCAAAACAAAATTGTATATATAAATATAAAATTATTTGCTAATTTATTTTTTAAAATAATAAATAAAATTAATTAAAATTTTAATATTAATGAACAAAAGAAAAAACAATATACTTAAGATTTCTAATAAATTTTTTCTTGAAAATATTTAATTTATACACTTTGTAGAAAGAGATCATCGAATTAGGGTTGTTTGAGAAGTGTCGTATTAGTTCACTTTTTTATCCTTTTATCTTTTTTGGATCATATCACATCCCTACTTTTCTACACATCTTTTCATAAAAAGTAAAAAAGTATACTTAATTATCTTTTTTGGATCACATCACATTTCTATTTTTCTATACATACGTTCGTAAAAAGTAAAAAAAGTATACTTATTTAGCACTTTCCAAACTACCACTAAATTGATATTAAAAAAATTTACTTTTTATAATGCCATAAATAATTTAAATATGATTTTTTAAAAATTCTTTTTAATTTAAAAATTACAATAAAATATTAAATAGAATAAAAACAAATTTCTTACAAAATAAAAGTACTTGAATAAAAATAGGTAAGGAGAAAAATTTCATATGGTACTTTCATTTAATTTGAAAATAATTCTAGATAAACAATAAATTATCACCTATAACTCTTTTTTTTTAATAAAAAAGTTTAACAAACTATCACTTTTAATAATTAAAAAAAAAATTAATGTTTCTTTCCAATTTATTTTAGCAAAAGTATCTTTTTAACAATTTGAGCAAAAAATATCTTTATTCTTTATTTTAATTTCTTTAATTGACAATTGAAATAAATAAATAAAAAATCTAACAAAATCCACTATGTTTGGTAAGTACTAAAAAAAAGATATGTTTTGTTCTTTTGTTAAAAAAAAATATATATATTAAAAAATATTTTTATTCAAGTCCTTATAGTTTAGAAGGATATAATTTTTTTATTAAAAAAAATAAAAAAAATAATACGATTAATAATTTGAACACATGTATTTAAAATAAATTATATTTAGACCAATAATATTATTACACATCATTATGACACATGTGAATATTGATCTTCTTCTAATTGTAGTAATACAATTTGAAGAAGAATTTAAATTTGAAAATTTATTTTATAATTTAATAAATGATGCACAATTTAAGGAATGAATATTGACCTCATTCCAATTATAGTAACATAATTTAAGTAAGAATCTAAATTTGAAATTTTATTTTAAGAATATAAAATTAATTTATAAACCAATCATATTGTAACACGTATTAACAAAAAATTAAACAAAATAAAAAAAAATGAGAAAAAAGAATTACAACTTTCAACCTTAATGAAATGATAATATTTTGCAATTATAATAGTATATAGATATATAGATAAATCATGGAATGGATCATTATTTAAAATTTATATATTATGGGATAAATCATTATAATTTTAAACTTAAGTTAAGGAATGCTTTTGATATTTAGTGCCCCTCAAATTTGAATTTTGAAATGGATTAATATATGTAACGCCCTCAAAATAATACATATAAACCAATCATTCATAACATCCATAGACATAGGAGAAATAAACATGTATCCATTTATCAGAGTATCCATTACAAAAAAAAATATTACATGTTGACAACAAAAGTAAATGCCCTACGGGCTTACTACTTTCCAAGTCAACACTTGGTTTCAACAAAAGAGAGTTCTAACTCTTAACATATTAAGCCCTTGGCTCGAATTACGTGTAATATAAAAGATAACTACAAAAATAAGCCTTAAACTTCTAAACCTCTCAAGCTACACCCTTGGAGGCGGCATATCACTTGTATCTGAAAATGGCGTCCCATATAGGGTGAGCCAAAGCTCAGTAGAGATACGCTAAACATAATATGAGAATGAACTAAAACATGAGCATTTGATAGATGTTTAACTCATATAACCCAACGTACATCTCTTCTATAACCAATCCATATTCACAACCATATTTCAATTCATTTCCGTTTCATTATCCAAATCAATTCATAGATATGGTTCATTGTTTATCCGAACAGTTCAAAATGAGATTATAACTCATACTATCAACACTTCAATCATAATCAATTTAAAATGAGACTACAACTCATATCATTAACTCTTCCATGCTTCAATTCAAAATGAGACTACAACTCATATTAATAATACTTTAATGCTTCAATTCATCTACGTTATGCAAACATAAGCAAGATTTCGAGACTTTCACCTTGGACACTCTGGCCAACTTAGTTGTCAATGGAGTCTATCCCGTATCTCCTCCCAAACAGGTTTGAGAGTACATCCCCTATCTCCTCCCAAACCATGGAGTACATCACCTTTCTTCTCCCAAACAAAATACATATGCAATGTATTTAAACAGCTTGTCATATACAATGATCAATTAAAGCACATATTCAACGTGTAAATCCAACCATCATATTCAATGACATAAACCAATCGATTAGTTTTAATTTACCTAATTATCATGCAATTTCTACAATAATCATGGCTATCCTCCACCAATAGCCCAAAGCAGATATTTCTAAACAGATAAATAAATCTAACAATAGATAATTTATCAACTTTTCCAAATGTAAGTAACTCATAATTCCAACCATAGCATTTAATCACATGTTCCTTCAATTCTAAAATTTCTGAACCCATCTCGTTATTTATACAAAATAACTTATTTAATCAAATTAGGGCAAATCTCCCCATTTATCAAATATTATACCAAAGACCAAATTTCATCAATTCCTCTCAAGCCTTAACATATTCAAGACTCCTCATGCCCATAAAGGACTCAAATAGGAAACCCCGTTTTTATATACATAGGAACTAACCAAAAATTTACCAAAAACCTTCTCAAGTCACACTATCTATACAAGATGACAATATCTATGTTAA